TGCCTGTAACCCCAGTGCTCTGTGTGTGTGTGTGTGTGTGTGTGTGTTGGTGTCTGTATGTGTGCTTGTATGTATGTGTGTGTTGGTGTATGTGTGCTTGTATGTGTGTATGTGTGTGCTGGTATGTGTTGACATGCTGGTATGTGTATACTGGTGTGTGTGTGTGTGCATGCCGGTGTATGTGTATTGGTGTGTGTGTGTGTGCGCGCGAGTGCTGTTGTGTGTCTATTGCTGGTGTTTGTGTATGTGTATTGTTGCCACACATGTGTGTGTGCATATGTGTGTGTGTGTATGTATGTGTGTGTCTATTCTGGTGTGTGTGTATGACAGCAAGATCCCTGAATTTGTGCTAGCTGCATATGATCTCTGGCTTCAGTAAAAGACCCATGTTTCAAAAAAAAAAAAAGTGGTTTCAATTGCACAATATGCAGAGTATGACAGACCTTGGAACTCTCGAGTCCTAACGAGGACGTCTCTCCATCAAATTCACCCCTCAGGGCTCAGGAAACTATGCTGAAGAGGAGGCAGAAAGATTGTAAGCGCCAGGGGCGATGAATGACACCTAAGACTGTCTTCCAGACACAACAAGACTGACGCACACATTAACTCACAGAGACTGTGGCAGCATTCGTGGGCCCTGCACAGATCCAAGCCAGACAGGTCCCAGTGCTGAGATGAGGCAGTAGATTCCAGCCTCCATCCCCAACCAAGAAACCAGTTCCAATTAACAACCATTCTCAAAATAAAAAAAAAAAAAAAAGTAATTTCTCCAAGGGAGCCTCATTGGGTATATACATGGCCGAGGCCCAGCAGCAGACGGCTAGCAGATGACAGGCGGTTTCTGAGATCTCATACTGCTTAGCTTGGGTCCCTGTCCCTTCACTGGTCTTTGATTTGTATGTGTGTGTGTCTCTGTATTTGTATGTTTGTGTGTGTATGTCTGCATTTGTATGTGTGTCTACTTTCTCGAAAGTATCTTTTTTTCTTTGTTCATTTTTTTAAAAAATCCTTGTTTATCTATTCACTTGCTTGTTTTCTTTTCTTTTTTTTTTTTTTTTTTTTTTTTTTTTTTTTTTTTTTTTTTTTTTGGTTTTTCGAGACAGGGTTTCTCTGTGTAGCCCTGGCTGTCCTGGAACTCACTCTGTAGACCAGGCTGGCCTCAAACTCAGAAATCCGCCTGCCTCTGCCTCCCAAGTGCTGGGATTAAAGGTGTGTGCCACCACCGCCCGGCCAACTTGCTTGTTTTCTTAAGATAGAAAGATGTGAAATTGGAAGTATGTGTAGGGGGGGAAGATCTGGGAGAAGAGGAAGGGGAAACTCATCAGAATAAACTGTATGAAAGTAACTATTTTCATTCAAAAATTATTTTAAAAATATCAGGTTGTTTGATGGGATGGATCAGTGGGTAGGACTTGCTGCAGAGCCTGACCTGAGAGCCTAGGGCAGAACAGACTCAAAAATCTGCCTTACCTCCACGCATGCGCCACCTCGGCACGCATGCTCACACCCCCTCCCGAGGAGGCATAAGAAAAAAAATTTCAGTTAGGTGGAGAGCAACTGAGGAAGCCACTCTGCATCAACATCCAGCCTCTACACTGCAGGCACACACATGTAAACATACTTACACACACACATTCATACCACATACTAAAACCATGGCGTGTGTGCATGTAGGTTATCAAGCATCTGTATGAAGGATGACTACACCAGTACTAAAGGCAGCTGTGGAGATGGAAAAGCGTCACCAGCCCCACGAGGGCCTGAGAGCCTGCAGCGCAGGCCAGTCTATCCTCTCGTCAGTCGAAGGTAGAAAGAGTGGCTGAATACCGTATGTGACCCTCACCCCCAAGCTGACCTCTGAGAGTAGAGTCGCCAGGACAGCCCCTGCCATCTGAGTGGGCACTTAGCTTTGCCTGGTGCCCACCCAGAAGAGTGCAGTGTGTTTTCGAACACCTCTGTCCTTGTCCGTGCTGGCATGGCTTTATCAACCCTCTGTGCGGTGCTCAGTGGAGCCATGCACCCCATGACTGAAGGATGCCAAGGTTCTGGGCTGCAGAGATGGTTCCGTGGTTAAGAGCACTGGCTGCTCTTACTGAGGACCTGAGTTCGAGTCCCAGTACATGGTGGCTCACAAGAATGCAGCTGCGGTTCCAGTGGGTCTGATGCTTTCTGACCTCTGCATGCAAAACACACGCATGGTGCAATGACATGCATGCAGGCAAAACACATAAAGCAAATAGCTACTTTTTAAACCACCAATGTTCCTGACTGAACGATTATAGGAAGCCTGCCCTCTCAGGGAACATGTGGGAAGCTCTGAGCACAACTGTCCAGGTCTAGTTCGGGGAGGGAGTTTGGTCAGGGCAAAGCAGGCCTAGTGGCAACAAGCAGAGGTTTCCCTGAACATGAATCTGGATATGAGGAACACGTGAGCTTTAGTATCCCAGTGGCTTGGGTAGCAGCACCCCACCTAACCACAGACCTCAGCTGGAGCCTAAATTCAACTTCTCCTTAGGGAGCTCCAGCCCCAATACAGAGCCCAGAAGCAGAAAGTGAAGGCCGGAGTTGTGTGTGTGTGTGTGTGGGGGGGGGGGGGGGGGTGGTGGTGTCAAAGGCATGCCCACCACTGGTGCGGTGGCACCATCTGGTGGCCATGTATAGTCAGTACCTGAGCAGATCCTGAAGAACTGCCCAGGGCTCAGGAAAACTGCAAAAAGGCTCAAGCAGGGCTCAACCTGGACTCCTCAGTGCAGTACTGCTAGAGCACATAAGAGCCCCTTGAGTCTAGCCTTCGCATAGCCTTACATTAGGAAGCAGCATATTAATGAGTAATTACCACCTGCAGGTAGACCTAGATGACACACACCCTCATGAACACACCTTGGGTTTTATTTAGCCTTTACAGTGTCTTATGTGACCAAGGCACGGCATGCATCCTAAGAGTTGGTCCTTGCCTTCCATCTCGTTCTTCCACTGCTCTACCAAGCCCTTGAGCTTTGAACTGATGCTGTCTCCGCAGATGCGCACACCATGGCTTGTGGTTTTACACAGGAGATCTAGGGGTCAACCCTGGTCAGCAGGCTTACGTGGCAAGGCCTTTTATGTGCTGAGTCGTCTTCCAGGCCCTATTTCTTTTGTAGCCCAGGCTGCATTCCAAGTTGCTACCTAGCCAAGGCTGACTTTGAACTTCTGACCTTCCTGCCTCCACCTGCTGAGTGCTGGGATTACAGTGTGCACCACCATACCTAGGGTTACACTTGGGATTAAACTCAGGGCTTTGTGGCATAGCTTCAGCTCCAGAGCATGTCATTTCTGTCACATCAAGGACACAGGAACCGAACAGGAGACTCAGGGGTTTCCCTCTACAGAGGGCAGGCTGGGAAGGGCAGCAGCCTCCAGGCTGTGATCAGGCTCCCTGGCAACCTCCCAGCCTGAGGAAGGCAGAGAGGTCTGGCCTGTACACAGCACTGGGAGGTTTACTTGGGGGCAGCCAAAATGGCTCAGTAGGTAAAGGCACTTGTCACTGAGCTAGGCAACCACCCAGGACCCACAAGGCTGAAGGAGAGAATCCACTGCCAAAAGTTGTCTCCTGATCTCCCTGTGTGCCCTGTGGTGTGCAAGCACCTACTCAGAAACATTAAATAATTCTTTTTTTGTTCTTTTGAGACAGGATTGCTCAGTGTAGCTTTGGCTGTCCTAGAACTCACTCTGTAGACCAGGTTGGCCTCAAACTTAAGAGATCCGCCTGCCTCTGCCTCCTGAGTGCTGGGATGAAAGGCGTGCGCCACCACCGCTCGGCATAAATAAGTTTTTTAGTTTATTTTTCCTGCACTGCTCCCTGCCCCCAAGTCCAGAAATGGGTAACAGCAGCAAGCAGACCAGGCCGATTCTTTTTGGCCTAGAAGTAACATTCAAGTTACCTCTCAGCCGCTCACCGCTGAGCTGACGGTGGCCGGCCACAGAGACAAGGCGGGATGACTCATCCCCAGGGGCTGGTGACCTCATCCTGACAGCCATGTCATGTCCCCTCTCCTCCCCACTCCTTGAGTGTCACCCAAGCCTGCAGCTCAGCCAACGTCGCTCACTGCCCAGGCTCTTAAGCTGTAGCTACTGTTCAGGTGACTGTCCCTTCAACATGGCAGGAGGCCAGCCTCCTTCTCCACCAGTCGGCTGACGATACGCAGGGCCAGAGGCAGGGACACGTTGGTGTCTTGGTGGTAGCGGGGCTGGCACACGCCCACAGTGGGTGTGAACACAAACTGGGCCACACTGGGCATCTTCAGCAGGGTCAGCAGCTCTGTGGCTCGCATCCGGATGGACTCTGCACCCTCCTCACTGTGCACAGAGCTGGTGCCTGGGCTCTGGGCCAGGGTCCGCATTTTTGACAGGAACAATGACACCCTAGGAAAGAGAGGGTCTCAGGTCCTTAGCTGCCAAGGATCAATTCCCCAAAGCACCTAAATAGCTGCCCTCCACGGGTTTCTCTCTGTGCTTCCTAGCTGGATACCTTGGGATCAGGTCTTGGCTCCGGGAGGCTAGCTTGGTCAGCGTGGTCATGAGTGCAGTGACCACCTCTGGGGGACAGCAGGGCAGGTCGGCTGAGGGGCGGGACTGGGTGACTTCAAACAGCAGGGCTTCCAGAGCTTCAAAGAACTTGTTGATCTGCTCTGCTGTGCACCTCTTGTCGAAGGTCACCGACAGGTACTCCCCAATGGCCCACACCTAAGCAGAGCAGAGGGTCAGCTCCAACAGGCCTTCCTGTGTGACGGTGGGAGATGGCTTGTGCTCACCACACAGGTGAGCATGCTGGCCCAGCTGTGGACGATGCCCACGCTCCCCACTGATGGTGGGAGGCGGCTGTGCTTACCACACTAGTGAACATGCTGGTTCGGCTGCGGATGCTGCTCACGCTCCCCACGAACTCTAGAAGCTCGCGTGACAGTTCCACCAGCAGTGATGGCTTCAGTTTACATAGCACCAGGAGCTGGGAGCTCAGCACCCTGTGAGGAAAGTGAGGACCCTGTGAGGCTGTGTTCTCGGGGCAGGCCTGACCCCAGCCTACCCAATGGGAGCAGGGGAACCAGGAGCAGCTGGCTGCAGTCAGGAAGGTAAAACTTGTCACCCATAGGGAGCCTTTCACTCCACTGGGGACATGACTGCCTGAAATCGAGGCTAGCTGAGAGAGTGAGGTAGGAGGAAGGCTGGGAGTTCTAGGATAGCCTGGGGTGGAGTGAGACCTACCATAAAACTGAAGAGTAAAGCCCCTGCCTAGACTCCCCCAGTGAGGGGCTGGGGTGTGGCTCAGTGGTAGAGCCCCTGCCTAGAATCCCCCAGTGAGAGGCTGGGGCGTGGCTCAGTGGTAGAGCCCCTGCCTAGAATCCCCCAGTGAGGGGCTGGGGTGTGACTCAGTGGTAGAGTACTTGACTAGCATTCAGGTGGCCTAGGTTTAGTCCCCAGGACAGGTGTATTTGTGTGTGAATAAGTGGTTCTCAACCTGTTGGTCACATATAAGATAACCTGCATATCAGATATTTACGTTACGATTCATAACAGTAGCAACATTACTGTCATGAAGTAGCAATGAAATAACGTTATGGTTGGTGAGTCACCACAACATGAGGAGCTGTAGTAAGGGCTGCAGCATTGGGAAGGCTGAGAACCACCTCAGTGGACAGGACCATCTGCAAGAGATACAAAGCATTTTGCAGGAGGAAGCCACTAGAATGCTCTGAACAGAGGAGGAAATGCAGGCTGGAGGAGGAACTGGCAGTCTGTAGGGCCAGTGCTCAGGCCCTAGCCTGTGGGCAGGACAGGAGAGGCATAGGGAGCTGGTCTGTGTGTGCCACGGGCACTGTGACCCTGCCAGGGCTGTGAGCCTACCTGTGCACACGGGCCTCATACTGAGGGACTGGGTAGAGGGAGTCACTTCTCTCCAGGAGCAGCAGTGCCAGCTGGTTGATCAGGACCCCGTCGGCAGTCTGTGAACAAGAACAGAACCAGGCTCAGTCTTGAGCAGTGGGCGCTTATCCTTCACCCTCTGGGAGGAGCAAGGCCACAGAAGAGGAACCATGACTTGGGGTTGAAGGTCCTCATTTCTGGCCTGACTTCCCCAGCACCCGGGGCACGCGGGGCACGCGGGGCCCGGGGGGTGGGGGGGACGTGGGGCTGGGAGAGGACTCAGAGGCCCCAGCTCTTGCCCTGCAGCTCCCTGAGAACCCCGGTCTGTTGCAGGCTGTGGTGGTTTACACCTTTAACACCAGCACTGGGAGACAGACAGAGGCATGCAGATCTAAGAGTTTGAGGCCAGTCTGGTTCACGTGGTGAGCTCCAGACTAGCAGGGTTAGACAGAAAGGTGGCGTCTCAAAAACAAACAGACATCGATAAAAGAAGGCTGTTCCCTGAGACCAAGGCTCCGTCTTGTCTCGCTGAGTGACCCCAAACTGCCCATTCTGTTGCTAGACTACCTCAAGCAGCTCTGTGGGCTTCTAGTCATCTGACCTGTGGACATGCAGCCAGAAGGAAACCACTGGGCTATGGTGGGTACTGGGACACATGCTGGCTCTAGCTTGTGCTGCCAGCCTCACATGTGCCCACCCAGTCCTGAGGCTCTGTCTCTCTTACTCAGGGAAGCCATGGAGAGTGCAGCAGGACAAAGCTCCTGTGGGGTCCAGTCCCTCTTGACTATGTGATGTCTATGGAGGAGGGCACCTGGGCGGTGGCTCACCTGGGTCACGGCCGAGAAGAAGGCCTGAAGTAGGACAGGCACTGCCTCCGCGCACTGGGTCACCCTGGCACAGCTGGCCATGGGTTTCAGCACCTGGTGAAGCGGCGTCAGTCTGGGGACACAACGGGGCTACTGAGTGCAAGCCCACAGCTCCTTCCTACAGGCGGTCATGGTTCACTCACTCCTTGGGATTACATGCTTCATGGGGCTCAAGGAGGCCAGGAGATGTCAGGGGCTCCCAGGACAGCAGAGCCAGGGACAGGGCAGCAAGGGCTCAATTGAGAGGCCTGCCTGTTGACCACCCTGGTCCTCCCACCCCCCAGAATAGGCTGGGTCTTAGTTTTCCTACTTGGATAGTGGACTGCACACAGCATCAAATGAGGGCTGGTCCAAAGCCCCTCCATGCCCACGGCAGTAGTGATGGGAACCACGGCTGTCTCCTCAGGCTGAGGGTGAGAATATACAGCCCAGTCTCTGGCATCAAATCCCACCTCTCTGTGGAGCCACTGGCCTTGGGACGAAGCAGGTGCCGGAAGAGTCCTTGGAACTGTGGGTCCTGGAAGGCCTCTAGACAGCTGGGGATCCTGAGGGAGACATCCCAAAGCAGCCTTTCCGACGGGGTCTGTGTGGACCTAGGAGGACAGAGGCTAGGCTGGCATGCAGCTTTAGTGCCATTTGACCTGATGCCGGGGGAACTGGTTCTCATGTCACAGGCTCTCAGGGCTGGGGAAGGGCTGTGTACAGCGGTATGGGAGGCCCCCCTGCATGAACAGTGCTGAGGAGCCTGGGGGCTCAGGGGCTACTCCAGGTGGATGGCAAATGGCCCAGAGATGCACTTGTCTGTGACCTGAAGCCTGGCCCGAGAGGTAGGGAGCAGTAAGGAGCAGAGCTAGTGCCAGGCTGTGGGAGGGGACAGGGTTGACCAGGCCAGCGTGGGCCCACCTGAGCTGTAGGTCCAGGGCAGCAGTCAGACAGGGCAGGTCAAGCAGTGCATGCAACATCTCCACAGCGGTGCCAGCGTCCACCAGAGCTGGGAGGAGTACCACAAACTCGGCTGTGAGAGGAGGGCTGTTCCACGCCAGGAACTGCGGGATACACAATGGCTCAGCAGGCAAGAGGATGCTAGCTGGCCATGCCTCATCCAGCGCCCCGATTGTCCCCTCACAGCACAAAGACACTGTTTAGACAGGGACACCTGACCCACCCCCTCCTTCCCACACTGCTTGTGATGAAGCTGTCTTCGGCCATGTTGTGAGGGTTTTACTTACTACTGCTAATGTGTGTGCACACGTACACAGGAGTGGAAGTCAAAGGCTGTCTCCGTTTACCATGTGGGTCCCAGGGACAGAACTTCTTTTTTTTTTTTTTTGGTTTGGTTTTTCGAGACAGGGTTTCTCTGTGTAGCCCTGGCTGTCCTGGAACTCACTCTGTAGATCAGGCTGGCCTCGGACTCAGAAATCCACCTGTCTCTGCCTCCCAAGTGCTGGGATTAAAGGTGTGTGCCACTACCGCCTGGCGGGACAGAACTCTTGACTGCTAGATCTAGCAGCAAGTGACTTTACCAGCGGAAGTCACCTCTCTGGTCACATTTACTATTTTATTTTTTTCTTTTGCAGCCAATTTTATGCTGGCAATGAAGGTAGCCATTTCTGAATTACTTGGTTTCTTTAGAAAAAGGAGTCTTCGGGTAGGGAGAAAGCTCGGTCAGTGAGGTGATGCTGCACAAGTAGGGTCTGTAAAAAGCACTCAACAGTGTGCACCCAGAGCCCAGTGCTGGGTGGCAGAGACAGGATGTCACTGGGGCTGGCTGGCCAGTCAGCCTGGGCACACTGTGAGCTCCCAGTAAAGGGAGATGCCGATTCCACAGAGGGAGGAGATGGTTAACGTGATGGAAACTGAAGCTCTAGGTCCAGACATGAGAACCCACGTAAAGCTGCCCTGGGCAGCACACGTCTGAGACGCCAGTTCTCCTATGCGAGGAGGCACAGACAAGGAGTCCCAAGAAGCCACAGGCCACCTCACCTGGTGTACACAGGCTAGCAAACAGAGACCCTGTCTCAGCCAACAAGGTGGAAGGCTGTGGTTTCATCTCCACGCGCACACCAGACTCAAGTGCACAGGATACATGTGTGCACACAGACGGACACACACACAGACCCTAGTGGGTTGCGTGAAGTGCCTGTAAAGGTCAGGAGAGGGCGCTAGATCCCTAGGAATTAAGAACTACAGGTGGTTGTGAGATCTCATGTGCAGGCCCTCTGCAAGAGCAGCCAGGGCTCTTACCGTCCAAACAGCTCTCCAGCTCCTAGGTTTTTCTTGTTCTTTGTAGCCCTGGCTGGCCTGGAACTATGTAGACCAGGCTGGCCTCAAACACTTAGAAATCCTGTGCCTCAGCCCCAGAGTGCTGGGATTAAAGGTGTGCACCACTGCATCACATCTGGCTTTGTTTGCTTTTTGAGACAGGGTATCATATAGTCCAGGATGGCCCAGAACTGCTGTGACCAAAGCAGGCCTTGAACTCCTACTTCTGACCCCTTGCCTCAGCCTCCCTTGTGCTGAGATTACACGTATGAAGCATCTTATTTGGTTCCCATGTAGCTGCCTGAGATGACTCTGTATGCTATGATACACGGGGGTCCCGAGCCTCATACCTCACTACACCCCAAACTGAAATCAACTGAAAAGGGGAGCCCGGGGCCCACTCGGATGAGGTCCACCCCGATGAGGCCCACACGTGCCTTGAATAGACTTGGGAAGCTCAACCTGAGAAGGCTGAGAAAGTGGGCGTCGAACAGAGCCAGGTTGTGCGTGCAGAAGTGTATGACCTCGAAGGCCACGGTCGGGCTGTGGAAACGCTCGGAAGGGAGACTGCCAAGCAGCTGCCCGTAGACGGCTTCTGCATCCATGGCGGCTGCTTCCCCTGAAAGACACCAGACACCACCAGGGCATTGGGTTCTACTCAGGCAGCATCTGTAGAGATCAGAATAAGGATTCCTAGTGTAGGCCAGAGCTCAGCCAGCAGGGCCGAGCCTCCAGGGCTGCAAGAGTCTTCAGAACATAACACGTCTCCTGGAGATGTTGCCACCTCCCTGAGACCACAGAGCACAGACCTGTCAGAAAGACATGGTCAGAAAGGCAGGCCTCGCTCTCTCTTCCAGCCGAGCAAGATGCCCAAAGGAAAGAAGGCCAAGGGGAAGAAGGTAGCCCCGGCCCCCGCCGTCGTCAAGAAGCAGGAGGCCAAAAAGGTGGTCAATCCTCTGTTCGAGAAAAGGCCCAAGAACTTTGGCATTGGGCAGGACATCCAGCCCAAAAGAGATCTAACACGCTTCATTAAATGGTCCCGATACATCAGGCTGCAGCAGCAAAGAGCCATCCTCTATAAGCGACTCAAAGTACCTCCTGCCATTAACCAGTTCACCCAGGCCCTGGACAGGCAAACAGCTACTCAGCTGCTTAAGCTTGCTGACAAGTGCAGGCCAGAGACAGCAAGAGAAGAAGCAAAGGCTACTGGCCCGTGCTGAGAAGAAAGCTGCTGGCAAAGGAGACGTCCCAACTAAGAGACCACCTGTCCTCCGAGCAGGAGTCAATACAGTCACCACCTTGGTGGAGAACAAGAAAGCTCAGCTGTTGGTGACTGCCCATGATGTAGACTCCACTGAGCTGGTGGTTTTCCTGCCTGCCCTGTGCAGAAAGATGGGGGTGCCCTACTGCATCATCAAGGGAAAGGCCAGGCTGGGGCGCCTGGTCCACAGGAAGACACGCACCACTGTTGCCTTCACACAGGTTAACTCGGAAGACAAGATGCTCTGGCTAAGCTGGTGGAAACCATTAGGACCAATTACAATGACAGATATGACGAGATCCGCCACCACTGGGGAGGCAACGTCCTCCTGGGTCCTAAGTCTGTGACCCAAATTGCCAAGCTGGAAAAAGCAAAGGCTAAAGAACTCGCCACTAAACTGGGCTAAAGAATAATGTACACTTCAAGTTTTCTGTACATAAATATAATTACAAAATTATCTTCCAAAAAAAAAAAGAAAGGCAGGCATCAACTTTTGACTTTCATGGGCCCATGGTCCATCAGTCCTGAGCTCGGCACAGAACTATCATCTCAGATACTCTGGAGGCTGAAGCAGAATTTCAAGTTCAAGACTGGCCCAGGCAACACTTGAGAAGCCATTCCCAAATAAAAGAGGCTGGGTGTACTGGCTGGTGTTGTGTGTCAACTTGACACAAGCTAGAGTCATCAGAGAGGAAGAAGCCTCTGTCAAAATGCCTCCATGAGATCCAGCGGTAAGGCCTTTTCTCAATGAGTGATCAATGGGGGAGGGCCCAGCCCATGGTGGGTCCTGGGTTCTATAAGAAGGCACACTGAACAAGCCATGGGTAACCAGCCAGTAAGAAGCACCCTTCCATGGCCTCTGCATCAGCTCCTGTCTCTAGGTTCCAGCCTTGCTCGAGTTCCTGTACTGACCTCCTCCAGGGAAGGACTGTGATCTAAAAGTATAAGCCGAATAAACCCTTCCCTCCCTAACTTGCTTTCTTTGGTAATTGTGTTTCATCACAGTAATAGACACCCTGACTAAGACACTGGTGGCATACTCTTAACCCCAGTACATAGGCAACAGAGGCAGGTGGATCTCCATGAGTTCCAGGTCACCCAAGTCACACATGAAAAAACCAGAACTAACCAACCAAGAACAATAAAACAAAGCAATTAAAATAAAAAGAGTGCTGGTATTAAAATCAGAGGTGGAGCCCCTGCTTAAAATCCCTCAGTGAGGGGCTGGGGTGTGGCTCAGTGGTAGAGCCCCTGCCTAGAATCCCCCAGTGAGGGGCTGGGGTGTGGCTCAGTGGTAGAGCCCCTGCCTAGAATCCCCCAGTGAGGGGCTGGTTGTGGCTCAGTGGTAGAGACCCTGCCTAGAATCCCCCAGTGAGAGGCTGGGGTATGACTCAGTGGTAGAGCCCCTGCCTAGAATCCCCCAGTGAGGAGCTGGGGTGTGGCTCAGTGGTAGAGCACCTGCCTAGAACCCCCTAGTGAGGGGCTGGGGTGTGGCTCAGTGGTAGAGCCCCTGCCTAGAAT